AATGTTTGTCTGCAGTGCACTCACACACTCACCTCTCTGCCCAGTGTTATTCCTCCTGGCTGTCCCACTAATTTCCTTGAGGCAATTAAAGTAAAGAGCTGGTGGGCAGCTGGTGCAACTCTTCAAATAAAACTCTTCTCCTATTCTCTGCTAACACCTTGTGTACTCTGAGTGATGGGTGTGTGAGTTGTCTGTGGATGTGGTTAATATGTAAAGACAAGATGAGAGAGAATAAACAAGCTTATCAACAGAGGAAATGCTTTAATCAGAAGTAACTCCCCTGCCATCAACTCATTGTTTACCCTGCCTTTTCTTAGATTGCATTATATTCCCTTTTGTCCCTCATCTTTGCTTGTGCCAAAGATTTCCAAGAGGACAGCGAACCTACAGCTGAACCTCTGAGTAATCTGAGATAAATAATGCATTATGCTTTAGACTAGGCCCTATCCTATAGCCACTAAGAGAGAGTATTCTACTGCAAGGATCCAGCTCACTGGCAGTTTGATATATATATATAGGGAAGTGAGAGATAGAAAGACAGAGATACAGAGAGGGTACATTTATTCAGTTCAATTGACAGAGAGGAAAGTGATGGGGAGAGTGATAGAGACAGAAAAGGGGGCTAGACAGAGATGGTGACAGATGTCCAACTTAAGAACTATTTCATGTCTTTGCAGCAGTATATATACAGGCTTTGCATTTGAGTGACAAATCTCTTAGCAGTCTTGTCAGCCGACAAAATTGGAGATCCATTGGAGAATTGGCTCAGGGCATAAATGTCTAGATACAGGACAACTGTCCTGATAAAAAGTGAGTTAGCTGAAAAGGATTTGTGTGTTGGAAGGGGCTGTACTTTTGACAAAGGTATAAATAACACTGAAGACTCGGGCAAGGCACTTTTATAAGGGATTAAAGTGTAACTACACCTTGTAAATCTACTAGCTCCCTCCCTCTCAGCAAGTTTAACAGTGACTTTAGGGGGCGTGGCTTCAACACCCACCAGAGTGAGTGACAGACTGGCCACAGCAGTGTAGCAGGAACAGTGAGCTGGTAGTCAGAGCTAACCAGCCATAAGCAGCTGCTGTCAGACTCTCTGTGTCCGCACTGGAAGCACAGAGAGTCCGCTGGAGCTTTAAAGTCACTAGAAGCACAGTCATGGCTCTTTGTAAAAGATGTGTGGTACCTGTGTTGTAGCACAGCTAGCAGCTGTGTTGTAGCTAAGGTATTGGCTCAAAGAAGCTAACTGTCTCATATGCAAACCACTGCACCAAAATAGAAAAATACTAAGTAGAGGCTTAGCAAATATGGGCATAAACTCCTGTGAACTACGCTTCTCGATCAGTATACATTTGACAGTGAGCGCTGCAGTGTTACACACTGCCACTCAAAGCACAGGCTGGGGGAGGTGGTCTGGTTAACACTCTTTTTTTATATACGTCATGACATAGAGTAACCCCTAAAAGGTCGACTCTATGTCAACATTAGCCTTGCCAGATTTATGTTGAGCCAGTTTCAACACAAACGCCTTTTAGGGGGAAGGACAGTTGCTAATAAGTTGTATACCAAAACGTTCTCAGTATCTTCCAGAACAACCCATATGATGGTTCCAAAAACGACCCTTAATGAGCATTTTGTGATCTTCAAGTTTAAAACCACTAAAACCAGTAGGAGATGAACCGCAGTGTCCTGTGTCAAAGTCGCATGCTTTGTTGACCCAGTCTTCTTTCTAAGTAGATGTTCAGACCAGTCTGAACTCCGCTCTCCCCAAAAAGTCTATAAACAATTTCAGCTTACAGAACACTGCTGGCAGAGTTTAACTGGAACAAAGCACTGAGCTCACATCACTGCTGTTCTTAAGCCCCTGCTCCGGCTTCGATGTGTTTTTAGGAATCGATTTTTAAGATCCTGGTAATATAAATATATTCCCACACGAACACTTGACTGTCTAGTTGATATGCTCCAAATATATATCCCTGACCTCTGTAGTGCGCACAGATTCACAGACTCTCTGCTGCTTACTGTACCAAAGAATAAAGACTACAGTCAGGCCGGCTGCTGCAGCTTTGGACTGCAGTTTACTACTACCCCCCCTAACACTGCATACTTCTGTTCAGTTTTAAAATATTAAAACCTTACCTATAATTATAAATAAATAAAAAGTGTATTAATTATGAATTTTTAAGTAAATAATCTTAATCTTTAATCAGTTTTTTCAACAAGTTTTTCTTAGTTGTAAAAAAAAAGAAAATAAAGCCAATGAGATTAAGAACTGGGACATCATCTCTGTGTGCCAGAACCAGTGTGTGGATGAGATGGATGCAGTTATCTGCTTTGACGTTATTGAAAAGTTTGACTTTGATTAAATCAAACCTTTAATAGGGACAAACTGAGAAAGTGATTCAGGGACACATAAAGGGGGGATAGAAAGAAAGAGACACAGCATTGTGTTTGCGTGTTTTCCAATCAGTCACTGTATGAGTCAGGGGAGCTCAAGCCTTTGGTGTGTAACACCAGCATCTGCTTTCATCCCCTGTATAACTGCCTCTGGAAATGTCTTCAAAGAAAAACACATGTGTTTACTGTCAGGCTGAGGACCAGCGTGGGGTGACAGGAATAGAGGGTCCACAGAGGAGGAGGAGGAGGAGGAGACGAGGGGGGGGTGATTGATGGATGATGGAGTTGAAGAGAACAGCACAGCATGGAAGGACTGAACAGAGGGTCTGAGAAAGATGCAAGGGAGGGATGAGAGTAAAGAACAGGTTTTTTTTTTTTACAAAAATGAGATACTTTCATAGGTAAGCATTATATCAGCATTTGGGCATCTCTGAACAATCTCACCCCCTCAAGTGCAAATTAAAGGTTAACCAAGTTAAACCGCATCAATAATTCACTTGTGGCTCTCCATAAAGGTCTTAAACATGGGGAAAATACTCTGGGCACTGTATTTGATGTATTTTCTGTCTTGACTCTGTTAGATTGATTGATAGTCTTGACGTGTCATTCTGTCACCTGAAGTTTCTTTTAACAGCAATCTGTTCCAAGACAATTCTTCTCTTCAAGTGACAATAACTAATGTTATCTTTCCTCAGTGCTGGTAGAGCAACCCGTCTTATCTGTTTAGGATATTAATACCTGTGGCTAGAAAAACAGAAAAGAGAGAAGACAGATGTCACAGGGGCACTAGCTGAAGATGGTTTATGCTGCATTGTCTTTATAATTCACATTATGATGTCTGTCTCTTTGGACTTTGGCTGCTCATTTCCACTCTCTATACTCAGCTACTCATGGTCGTCTTTCTTGGGTTGGTTGATAACATTTCCTGTTACAATAGATACACAGGTCAGTTGGTAAAATAGTTCTAGCTGCCAGGGATGCTTTTGACAGGCTCAAGTAGGCATTATTATATTCAAATAAAATGCAACTGATGCTGTGTATATAGGACGTATAGCTGTAGCTCATTTGCAGTCTTTATCCCTGGTTAGGCTTTCAAAGAGTAAAACACAAAATACAATACAGCAAATAATTACTGATCAATATTCCCTTTTAGATTTTTGTTATTGGTAATCCATGTACATTTATGTTTTATGTTACCATATACCACATTATTACCACATTATCCGTCTCTTTTCTGAATAATCCTGTGAAACGTGTATTCTGACAGTAAAAGCTTGGATTTAAACCATAACACTTCTGAAGTGGCAACAGGCTGTAAGTTAATTTTAGTGAGATGACAAATGCAGCTCTGTGATGGTTGGTGTAGTAGTAGCTGTTGCTCGGATTATGTAAGGGTCAGTATGACATTTTCAAATCTGGACATAAATACCTATTTGGCTGATACTAGCAACTGCTGGGTAGTCACTATGGAAACATCAGCACTAAATGAAGCCGAAGCAGCATGTTTGAATGAAAAGAACAAAATAATAATAATAAGAAAATGCACTGTGAACAATAAGACTGCAGACCTCGCCACTGAGCAGAAAGCAAACATGTGTTTTTGAGTTTTTCTGACCCCAAAAACAAAAACATCTGTGGACTAAAGTCCAAGCCCAGCACCTCAGATATTGCCAAAACCGTTTTAAGTTTCAATGTAATAAAACACCCAGATGTATGCAATCAAGTGTGTTTCTCTGCTATGAAGCCTAGGGTAACATAATGTTTTGAGAGTGATCTGGAGTGAACATTTTGTGGGACATAACTTCAGAGTTGATAACCGGGACAAGAATGGATTTTGTCCTTCGGCAGTGTCTTGATTCTGTCCTGGCTTTTAGGCCACGCTGCATCTGTTCTGCTCATTCAGCTGAGGATGAGTGGTGTTTGGAGGCCAGGCCTCAGTGCTTTAAAATGAAATTTTTCTCTCTCCACTGTGACAAGTCAGACGAGAGAGGGCTGATAACAGACAGAGAAGTCACCTAAGTTGGTTTCACTTGACCTGCCTTTTCAGAGCAGGGTGGAAAGAGTAAGGGAGGAGATAAGCAGACACATCCATCTCTTTGCACCTGAGGACAAAGGAAAAATTACCTTCTGATGTTCCACTGAGTTTGGACAGTAAGCCCAAACAAGCTCCTCTTTCTGAGACTTATTGCGTTACATCATCAGGTGACCTATAGATAATTTGGAACTGGAGTTCCTACCTATTGTGTGTGTTTGAAACAAAATACACACATTTCTCAGACAAATCTGCAGGCAAGGCTCAATATTGAGCCTTGACGCAGATAATCAATACTGGACAATACTTCCTGGAAAAATACCCTGGTACATGAAGAAGTGATAGGTTTGACCTTTTTGGTTTGTTTGGAAACCAGAAAAAAGAGAGACCCAAATCCAAGGAAAAGACATCACGATACTGAATAAAATGTTTGAATTTGGGTGTAAAACACTGAACAGCAATGAGCATTTTGAAGCAGATGGCAACATAAAAGTGGTACCAAATGTTTTCCTGAGAATTACAACTGCATTTCTCTTTTTCTCTCCCCCTCCCTCCCGCCTGCCCACCCACCCAGAGTCAGGCCATGCGTATCGTACGGACAGTCGGCCAGGCTTTCGAGGTTTGTCATAAACTGAGTCTGCAGCACACACAGCAGAACGCAGATGGACAGGAGGACTGCCACAGCGAAAAGAACGACTCCTCAGTCACAGGTACACAAACACACACACACATACAACACACAGAACAACATGCACCTGCAAAACAGTCAGCATCCCATTCTTAGTGCCCTGCATTGCTGCTCTGGCCTCATGGTATTTTTTGAAAATCTTGATACTTGTCATTCATCAGAACATGTAGTGATCTGTGCTCACTGCTTGTTCACTTCTTCGTCATAACTTTGAAGTATCAGAAGGTAACATTAAACAGAGCTACAGAGTGCATTGTGAATGTTTCATGTGGGAGTGCTGTATTTTCATAAAAGTTGTTGAAAGAGAAAAAGTATGTTTGTTGCAACCTTGTAGAAGTTCCTTGAAAGTTCACGAAGTGACAAATGGGAAAAAAAATCTACTGCAGCTATAAAATCTCTCTTTCAAGAGATATTGAAGAGTTCTGGTATTCCTTGAGTATCACTGAACACTGATATGCCTTTAAGAAGGCTATGGTCACTGAGGAAAATATAATAAACTAGTCAGCGGATATGTATACAAAAAGATAGATATAATTGAGTCAAGAACTGTGGAAATGACAAGAGAGAGAGAAACAATTGGGCAAACAGACAAGAAGCACAAAAGAGCAAAAGATAAAGATGTACACCATATTTTTGCCTCTCCATGAATTACTTCCACATATTTCAGCGCCTTAAAGTAGTTGGCAAAACAATATGAACACTGTGAAAGAGAGGTCTTCCCAAGGTTTCCGCCTCTGTTTTTTTCCTTGCCGCTGTTGCCAAGTGCTTGCTTATGGTGGGAACAAGATTAACAGTATCTGAAATATTTGCATCCAAGTTTTCCGTAAAATAAATTATATTATTGTAGTTAAATGAAAGTAAATTTTTAATGACAACCAATTATTCAAATGATTTTCTGTTGGAAAGGCAAGAAGCAATGATGTATTTTATAGTGTGCAACATAATATTTTAACCCCTTTCTCGCACAAAACACAGCAGGGGATTTTACAGATGTAAACACAACAGAGCGTACATGCTTTTTTGAAGCAAGCAAAACAATAAGAGAAAGAAATAAGCAGACAGGCAGACGTGTGGGTGGAGTTGATGTAACAGTTCAGGGTGCTGGGGCAGTGAATGGCTGGAAATGTGAGGCGGCTGTAAAAATGTTGTGAATATGTCCAAAATAAAGTGTCTGATAGGTGAATCCAGGGACCATTCTGATGTGTGAAACATGGCTGACAGAGGTATCCCAAACTTGTGCTACCTAGCGAATCTGCTAGCATGCTTACTGCTAGCTGACCACCAAAATAAAATAAAAAAATAAAACTGAAGTTGTAATAATCTGTAGTATTCCTTTAAAGATTTTAGGTTTGTGACAAGAAGAAGAGGCCACAATCCATTCGCCCCCATGTGAACAAGGTTTCAGCCCAGAAATAGTGCAGAACATACCTCATCCCCGTTGAAAGACGAGATAAACAAACCAGGAAGGACTGGGTTTTTTAGGTCATGGAACAAAACAAGGCCATGGTGAAAATGAAGTCCAAAAATAATATAAAATCTTAAGTCTTGGCAAAACATCCCCCTGTATGCACTCCTACACACTTCTCACACAGTCATATGTCCTCAGATATCAACAACAGATAGTACCGTATACACACTCTGCACACATACACATTCCTGTCTGCATTGTGCCCATGGTGGCAAGCGGGAGAGGGCGATGCTGGAGTGAATGTCATGGATGAGTCAACCCAAAGAAAGAAGGCACCACACAACAACACTGGTGGGCTGAGCTACTTTTATCCGACGCCTCGTGCCTGGACAGGATGGGCTCCACTGCAGCCCAGGGACACGTGGCTCTGAGTGGGGTCTGAGAGGACAGACATGGGGATTCAGCAGTTGGAAGAGTCCAAGAACTGAGCTCTTTCACACCACTGTTCCAGTCATTACAGCAGCCAACGCTGGTCACCCTCCACACCATGATCTGAGAGCGCCAGGGATACGTTATCCCTACATCCCCCCTTCCAACCCTCCAGAGACGAGCTCTCTTTCACATGCTGATGAGCCCAGAGATCACCCACGCTCTATAACTGTACATTCATGCACAGTGCAAGGACCCCACATGCATACAAACTCAGCCCTTTACACACACACTCATTGTCATGGTGTGTTAAGCAACACAAGAGCCGTCACGCACACCCAATGAGCTTATCTGGAGAACTAATTATCATGGCAGTGAAAGGAGAAGGGATAGAAGAGTGGGAGATAGCGGATTAGAGAAACGGAAAGCTGGAAGAAAGCATCGCTAGTCGAGGGGAGGAGGAAGAGGAGATGGATATTAGAGGAAAAAGCAACTTGGGATCATAGAGGACGACGGGAGGAAGAAAAGATGAAATGTAGACATGAATTAGAGAGGAGGAGAGGGGATGGAGAACTGGGTTGAACAGCAGGGAGTGCGAAGAAAAGGAGACACAGCAGGAAGTAAAGAGCAAGTGATGATTTTCTTCTCAGAAGAATGTTTGTGCATCATTTCATACATACATACATATAAGATGAAGAATAATCTTATTAGCAAACAAATAAATGTGTAAAGAATTGCTTATATCACTGGAACTAATAAAAGCCCAGTCAATGGTGATGACGCCAAACTGTGGAACCGTAATGTTATCATTACAGTACACATTAACATAAGACATAACAGTGCCACAGGCATCCAGCAGTTCAGTGATCACTAAGTACTGAACACTGTAGTACTGAACTGAGCCTACAGGACATAAGATGGAGAGCCTTGATGACTTGTTAGCAACATTCCAAATTGTTAATATACTGAACAAATTTTTTGTCTTTGCAAAGGAGATGTGCTGCCCAAAGGTGGTCTTATTGCACCTTTAATGCAGTTTTGTTATTTTCTGAGTGCCAGTAGGTTAAATAGAGGCAGATCATTTCACTTCAGTATTGTATTGTTAATGTTTATTTGGTCAAAAAAACATGTCAGACAGGTTGCGGCGAACTGGGAGGGCATTTGTTCATCTTTAGAGAAAGCCAAGCTAGCTGTTTTCCCCTGCTGCCAGTCTGTATGCTAAGTTAAGCTAACCACAACCTGACTCCAGGTCTGTTCTTATCACACAGACATTCTCCTCTAACTCTCAGGAAGAAAGCAAATAAGCATTTTTTCACAAAAGACCAAATGTCCCTTAACTGTTTTCACCTGAAATTGGCATTAATGTGCAAGCTTTGCAATGAAGAAAGAGTCTTTTGCTATGTATTTTAGGATTTTACTTTTTAATACACAAGGGTATCCCAGTTAGGAAATAAATCATATCAAATAAGTCATCTATTCTGGGTGGAAATAGCTTTACAACTCAAGTGACTGCGGTCCCAGTAGCTCCAAGTGCAATCATATATTTTTAGTACAGTCAGGTTGCCTGGAAACAAATGCAATTCTATGTAGTGGGCAGTTGTCAATAACTGTGCTTGAACACGAAAACAAATCACATTCAAGTAAAATATAAACTAGAACTCGAACCTACATTTCCCCTGTTATACAATTTTGTGTTAGGGGAGGGTGTGATATAGAGGCAGCAGCTTCAGGCTTTGTAGTCAGGGGAAGAAATGTTCCAACAGCTGTGACAAACAGTGTTATAGTTGTGTTCTGGTGCCTGGTGAGGCAAATATATCACTCTTGAAATGGTTAAATGTTCAGACTGCTGAGGTAAACAACAATCATAATTTTGAGGGTTTCAACTTGCATTTAGTTAGATCAAGATTTCCAATCAATCAAAAATCAATCTTTACCAACTAAAAAGAGAAGGACTGCCTCTATTCTAAGTTTTGACAAAGGAGTCAAATAGAACCCAGTTCCAAGATAGTCTGAGTAAGTGTGGAGGGCAGAAGAGGACGAGGAAGAGTGCTCCTCATAAACTGTATTGTTGTCTGCATTGATTTAGTCTGATACGCGGATAATATTGGTGATCTCCATTGTTAATGTTATCTGCTTCACTGAAAACACGGCCTGTATCAAATTTGGGCCAATTTGTCCCATTAAAAATGTATTAACAGTAATGAGAACAGTGTTCACAAACTCAAACCACAAAATGGAAACTCCCATGAAACAAGAAAGTGCTGGCAGCATTGTATTATATTTAGACGTGCACTGTATTACAGCTCTTTGTGTGGTAATATGGGGACTTATTGCACTGTTTTTTTGCTAAAGAGTTGTTCCACTGAACACCTAGAACATTAATATACATTTGAATAATCATACAATGTACTGTGGCTCTGTGGATAATGTTTTCTGACTTGAGTGCATTTGTGTGTCCGCCCATGTGTGTGTGTGTACATGCTCATGCCCACATGTGTGTATGCAGGCGTGCGTGCTTATCCACCTGTATGTGTGTGTACTTTCCTCGGCTCAGCTCGGGAGCTAACAGGCGCAGAGAAGACAGCGTCTGTCACCGAGGAGACAGATATTGACGCGGAGGAGGTGAGCCAGGTGCCGGCAGCAGAGGAGTTAAACCTCAATAGAGGGGTGACTGATTTGGACGCCACAGCCAAGACACCTGACCTGAACCACTCAGAGAACAAGGTAAATCATCCAGTGTTGCACATGTGTTCGTTTGCAGCTCTGACCAGTCAAATCTCCTGGTGATCTTTCTCCGTGTGCGGCGCCAACATGAGTTGAGCAGTGGACACGTAACAAATAATGCCTAGAAAGCAATGTGTGGTGGTAAATTCAATAAGGTTATACGAAAAAGAAAGACATTGAAGTTCTCATTTTAGAGTTCAGTTTAGAAATGGTTTAATGAAATATTGCTACATTTTGCTTCTTGTATCGAGTTTTGATATTATTCGCCCTGGGCCAGCATTTCCTAAGCTGACTGCATATTTGTTACCCTGAACCATCAGAGAGGTCTTCCTGGGAAATGGACAGGCAAGAAATACTATAATTCATAAACCATCTGTCTATCACAGTCCATCACGAACAAACTTCAGCCAGTAAGATCAACAAAACCATACAACATTGTCAAACTTTTACCAAAAGAAAAATATCTGTTCTATCAAGAAAAGCCTTCAGTGCTTTAGTAGAGCAGCATTTACTCTAACCTCTATCGGAGCCACCATTGTTGTTCAACAAACAGCGTCATTGCGTCACACCTAGCTGCGAACCCCGTAGCTGCCAGTACTTTCTTAAAGGACAAAGACTGGTCCCATACCACTGTACCAGCCGAAAACGCATAGAATGAGTAAGTCCAGCTTCCTCGCAAGGTTAAGCATCCCTGGTGTTGTCGAGTTTTTGTCAGTTGGGAGTGTTTTCAGTTAATCGTGAACTTGGGTGATTTCATTAGCAACTATGGAAATTCTCTTTGACAGCACTAACATCTGACTTTCTTACATCATTACTGTTTCAGTTTGACATTTCTCCAGACAGGCACTTGACTTAATTTATGAAAATAACACATACTGTAGGTGGCTGAGGTGACTGACTGCTTTTAAAGTGTTTATGTTAATGTATTAAGGCTGACTTTTCTGCAGCACATTCTAGTCACAAAACAAGGTTGAAACATTGAAAATGGCAGCTCCCTGATGACCTAGAGGTCAAAAGTCCAGTGTGTAACGTTTATGAGGATATAATGGAAATGGAATATAATATTCAT